TGGAAATGAATGAGTTGGAAGAGATTCGACGAGATGTGTATGAGAGCTCCAGAATCTCAAAGGAACNACACTGCCTTCAAAATTATTTTGGGCATGTCTCCCTACCGGCTTGTCTATGGAAAGGCTTGCCACCTGCCATTCGAAATGGAACACAAGGCCTATTAGGCCATTTAAACTTTAAATTTCAACTTGAGAATGGCCAGTGAACATAGGAAGTTGGAAATGAATGATTTGGAAGAGATTCGACGAGATGTGTATGAGAGCTCCAGAATCTCAAAGGAACGGGCAAGATCTTTCACGATAATTCCATTGTACAAAAATCATTTTGGTCCGGTCAAAAAGTGCTCTTATACAATTCTCGCCTCTCAATTTTTTAGGAAAAACTCCGATCCTGTTGGGATGGCCCCTATCTTGTCAAGGTGGCCTACCCCCAACGGAGCTGTGAGATCANGAGAGCTCCAGAATCTCAAAGGAACGGGCTAAGATCTTTCACAATAATTCCATTGTATAAAAATCATTTTGGCCCGGTCAAAAAGTGTTCTTATATAATTCTCGCCTCTCAATTTTTCAGGAAAAACTCCGATCCCGTTGGGATGGCCCCTATCTTGTCAAGGTGGCCTACCCCCAACGGAGCTGTGAGATCACAAACCCTGAAGATGGCCAAACATTCAAGGTCAATGGCCAAAGACTTAAGCCATTCTTCAAGGGTTTTGAAGGGAAAGAAGTGGCGGAAGATTTGACGAATCCTGTATATCCAGATTTGATGGAGGACTAGCTGTCACTTACTTTCATTGGTTGTATAGCATTGTTTTCTTAGTTTCAGATCTTGGTGCTTTTGTTGAANGAAGTGGCGGAAGATTTGACGGATCCTGTATATCCGGATTTGATGGAGGACTAGCTAGTGTTTATGATTTCTAGTGTACAGTTNGAGTTTTGAAGGGAAAGAAGTGGCGGAAGATTTGACGAATCCTGTATATCCAGATTTGATGGAGGACTAGCTGTCACTTACTTTCATTGGTTGTATAGCATTGTTTTCTTAGTTTCAGATCTTGGTGCTTTTGTTGAAGCNAATTTACTTATGTTATTTTTGTTTCATGTCACTTACTTTCATTGGTTGTATAGCATTGTTTTCTTAGTTTCAGATCTTGGTGCTTTTGTTGAAGCTCAATCACGAGGTGTTCTCTAACCCTATTCATCTTTTTACTGTCCTTCATTGCATATTATATCTTTTTGTTGCATTGAGGACAATGCATGATTCAAGTTGGGGGGTGAGGTGCACCATTTGCATGATACACCAAGGTTGTTAGGAAATTTGTGTGAAATTTTTGTGACACAGATTTTTGCTTCCATTAGTGAAAAATATGTGAAAATTTTGAATATTTTTTATGGAAAATATCTAATTTTTGACCTGTATTCCTTTATGAAGAGTGTGTGAGTTGAATGACATATTGATCGTTGTTGTGAACTTTTAGCACATGAGCATACTATGGAAATTNTGCACCATTTGCATAATACACCAAGGTTGTTAGGAAATTTGTGTGAAATTTTGTGACACAGATTTTTGCTTCCATTAGTGAAAAATATGTGAAAATTTTGAATATTTTTTGTGGAAAATATCTGATTATTGACCTGTATTCCTTTATGAAGAGTGTGTGAGTTGAATGACATATTGATCGTTGTTGTGAACTTTGAGCACATGAGCATACTATGGAAATTGATACTAGGCGTGAGTATCACATATGTATTGATTTTTGAACTCAAATGTATGTGACTATTGAATGTGTAATTTCAGTAATTTGCGGATTGGATTCATGTTTTAAGCTTGACATAAGTAGTGGAGATGAGTAAGGACTCATGAGAGTTTTAGTGCCAAACCTTTTTGGGAGGGAACTTACATTTACTCAAAGAACGATTTTTCAATGTCAAATTTGTTCAATAATCTCATTACACTTGTTTTGGTTAGGTGCATTTGGATAGTAGGTTGACTCGTCTTGATTGTATAATGTCAATCCATGGGGACCTGGAAGTGATCTTAGGTCATCCTTGAATATTTTGAGCCTTTGCCCTTTTTTCTTGAGAAATTATTTATCCCTAGTGCCATGTTTGAGCCTTGTTGAAAATTTGTTTCTATGCCACACATTAAACTAAGCCAGTGAAAAATATATATATATATATATCTCACCTTGGTTATTCCTAGTGCTAAGTATGAATGATCATAAAAGAGAAGGAAGTGTGGTGTGAAAATCCAAGCAAGGGATGAATGGAAATGAAACTCAAAGAGTTCAATGGAAAAAGAATGAAAATCCAAGAAAATGAAGAAAAGGGATGAAAAGAAGAAAGAATGATCAAAAGAAAAGAAAAATGTCAAGGAAAATAAAGAAAAGAAACAAAGAGTGAAGTGATGGTGTTAGCTTAGAAATCCCATAAAAAGGGAGATCTTTTTTAAATAAAGGTCATTCACTCGGAACAACCCTCTTTGTTATCCTATATCTTTCATTTCATTTACCTAGATACTACCCCCAAGGCCCCATTATAACCCTTGAAAGTCCTAAGTGATCTAGGGAAGCATGGGAGGTGCATAGCTTTAAAGAAAATGATGAGTTAGTTTTACTGTCCAATGCCCTAGCATTCTTTTCATGAGATTATGCCAAAGTCACTTCATTTTCATATGTGAACTTCATTTTTGGATTACATGTGAGTACACTTTGTTTTGAACGCAAGATTCTATCTCACATGTACACATGGAGTGCATACCAGGATAACTTGAGTGTATTTCTTTGTTTAAGAGTGAACCTTGGTGAGTTTTTGCATTGAAGCTGAATTTGGCTAGCTATTCGAGTGTGAATTTTGTTGCTGAAATGCTCAAATTACTTGTTTAATTCACACACACACGAGTTGAAAATGAATTTGTAGATGCATATTTTGGACTAGTATTTGAGACTATGGTCTTACTTATGTGTGTTTAGTTAAATCATCTGAGAAATGTGTTAATTAGTTCCATACCTGCAAAATAGGGAAATATTGCTCAAGTTTTTTATATTTAAGATGAATTAGGAATTCCCATGTTTTTAATTATGTGATTTGAATTTTCGGTGTTCATTTTGATAGCTAAGATTAGGAATCCATTCCTTGTATGTTGCATGCATCAAAGGTTTAAATCACTATGCAATTTCAGTAATAAGTTGGGCATGATGGTTCGGATTGTGGTTTATAAGTGAAGTACATCGTTGGGATGGAGTAGAGGTTATAAGTAATGTGGTAGAAAGTCTAGGGAGGTCCTGAGTTGGAATGGAATGGAGTGGTGTACTCAACAAGAGTATTTTGGCAAACAAAGCAGAAGCGTACTGGTACTGCGTACTGGTACGGCTTAGTCCCTGGAACATAGCGTATCGGTATGCAGTACCGGTACAGTCCAGCCTCTGGAGTTCAGCGTACCAGTACGGTCTGCTGAAACAAAAAAACAATTAGGGCTTTTTAATTTAAATCCTTCGGTGAACCCTCCACTCTCCACTTCTAATTTCAACCCTAAACCCCTCTCTCTCACTCGAAAACATCCCAGGCATCTAAAACCCCCTTGTTTCCCTTTCAATCCATAAACACACCCTCTCTTTAAGCCTTGATCTTGTGCAATCGACACCCGGGAACCCTAGGTGCCGAATTTCTCCAATTCCCTATTTTTCTCAAATCTCTCCAAGGAATCCCTAATGTTTCATCACTTTGATGTTTTCCTTGAGGTCATAGACCTGATTGAGGGTCTTTTCTTGACTTTCTTGGCAGTTATCTTGATGGGGGCACTGTTGCACTTCATGGCCCGAACCAAGAGACCTGGACCTGGGCCCCACTCCCCTCTAACTGAGAATCCTAAGAGCCACAAGAGGAGCGGTGAGGGGTCGAGTAAGGACCCAAATGTGCAAAGAAAGAAGGCCAAGAAGGATGCACGACGCCAGTGGATTCAAGGGAAGTGTGTGACCTATGAGCGCCACCTTGATTACATTTCACTCACCCCCAGACATGAAGCCATGAAAATCATTGAGGGCCATGGTATGAACTTCTGGTTCAAGCAATTTGAGGGTTATAATTTGTCACTGGTTAGGGAATTCTACCAATCGCTCCGGGTGGTTGAGGTGAATGAAGTGGAGGTGTTGCGAACCAATGTGCGGGGCAAGGGGTTCGATGTGACCCCCGATGTTATTGCCACGCTTCTTTAAGGATACAAGAGACCATCATCCTTCCTACCTATCTATCCTCACAATATCACTAGAGCGAAGACTCGAACGGAGTTTGTGGAGCTAATGTATGAGGACCCCACCAAATTCAAGGGACTTTTCCAAAGTAGAGGGTTAAAGCATGTGTATGGGCTTCTGAACAAACTCCTCCATTANACAGTCCAGCCTCTGGAGTTCAGCGTACCAGTACGGTCTGCTGAAACAAAAAAACAATTAGGGCTTTTTAATTTAAATCCTTCGGTGAACCCTCCACTCTCCACTTCTAATTTCAACCCTAAACCCCTCTCTCTCACTCGAAAACATCCCAGGCATCTAAAACCCCCTTGTTTCCCTTTCAATCCATAAACACACCCTCTCTTTAAGCCTTGATCTTGTGCAATCGACACCCGGGAACCCTAGGTGCCGAATTTCTCCAATNTGAAAACATCCTAGGCATCTAAAACCCCCTTGTTTCCCTTTCAATCCATAAACCCACCCTCTCTTTAAGCCTTGATCTTGTGCAATCGACACCCGGGAACCCTAGGTGCCGAATTTCTCCAATTCCCTATTTTTCTCAAATCTCTCCAAGGAATCCNTCTTTTGATTTTAGATTGTATTGAGTTAGGGTGGAGTTATAGGCAATTTTGTGTCTTTTTGATGTCCTACTCCAATGTACTCCAACTTCGTATTATATTAATGAAAAACCACAATTTCTTGTTCAATTGTGTCCATGTTTATTTTGTTAATTGCATTATGATTTTTACTTTTNCTTATCACTTTGATGTTTTCCTTGAGGTCATAGACCTGATTGAGGGTCTTTTCTTAACTTTCTTGGCAGTTATCTTAATGGGGGCACTGTTGCACTTCATGGCCCGAACCAAGAGACCTGGACCTGGGCCCCGCTCCCCTCCAACTAAGAATCCTAAGAGCCACAAGAGGAGCGGTGAGGGGTCTAGTAAGGACCCAAATGTGCAAAGAAAGAAGGCCAAGAAGGATGCAGCCAGCGGATTCAAGGGAAGTGTGTGACCTATGAGCGCCACCTTGATTACATTTCACTCACCCNGGGGGTGTGATTAGCACAAAAAATTGCATATTTTTATGTGCTAATCATCCTAGTTTAATTGCTTTTTGGGATTAAATGATTAGAGTTATATCTGTTGAGTTATTAATGAAAATATTTGGTGTGTGCAGTTAAAAGGTGTTNTTGTTGCTGAAATGCTCAAATTACTTGTTTAATTCACACACACACGAGTTGAAAATGAATTTGTAGATGCATATTTTGGACTAGTATTTGAGACTATGGTCTTACTTATGTGTGTTTAGTTAAATCATCTGAGAAATGTGTTAATTAGTTCCATACCTGCAAAATAGGGAAATATTGCTCAAGTTTTTTATATTTAAGATGAATTAGGAATTCCCATGTTTTTAATTATGTGATTTGAATTTTCGGTGTTCATTTTGATAGCTAAGATTAGGAATCCATTCCTTGTATGTTGCATGCATCAAAGGTTTAAATCACTATGNCAAGGCAGCAAAAGCGTACCTGTACACAGTACTGATATGGTCCAACCTTTAGAGTTCAGCGTACCGGTACGTCTATAACTCAAGTCTGCTGCTTTGAGGGTCCCACCAACAGATCTCCCATGCTTCCCTGACACACCTATAACACTATTTATCCCTTTCACACTCCTCTTTGGACTTTTGGAGCCATGGTGATCAATGAGAAGAGAGAAGAGAAGAGAAGCTGGGTGTACAGACAAGCTCTACAACCCCCCTGTCCAGCCCATTCCTCCTGCACCCCTATGGATGGAGGTCACTTCTGGAGGTTAGGGGATCTCTCCAAGCATGTTTTTGGCAAGGAAGCACTCCATTGTATTGGATGGCATGTAATAGAAGATATATAGAGAGAGAGAAGGTCTGGGTAGAAAATGATGAATAGTGTTCTAGTGAGAGAAAATTGAGATTTTTGCATTTCTTTCAATACATTGTCTTGTAATCCCTGGTATGAATCTTTAGAACTTCATTTAATGTCATTAATGTTGTTCTCCTTCAAGTTTAATGCTCTTTTAAAGCTTTCACCATTAATGCATCAAAGTTCTTCATTTTCTTAGTTTTCAAATCAGTATTCAATATACTCTCTTATAGCTTATGTTTTCTTGCATCTAGTTACTCTAGAACTTCATATCTTTGCAATGCATTCTCATTACATTGTCAATTTTATTTTAAGCATGAGTAGCTAAATCTTTTAGTTGGAAAAACCAAGTGGAACCTCCACTTGGGTATACCATTTCAACTCATTCTCCTCCCTTCTTTCAGAGTTCAATGGTTCAGTTTGACTGGGTTGAGGGTAGATAAGTTGGTGAGTTTTTGATATTCCGTAGGCCTAGTCATGGTTTATGCTTAGATACTCACCAATCTTATCTCTAGCTTCCCACGAATCAATCATTCATTCATGCTCTATTGGAGGAGGGTTTCGAGTTGAGACAGTATTCCTATTGGAGTGACCTCTTGGATTTGCCAACATTTGTTTCTCATTTTATTAGCATCAAAACAAAATTCACCAAACAACTTCCAACAACCAAAAATTTTACACTTTCTTTTTTCCAAAATCACCTTCCTCTCAGTTTACTTCCTTCCCCATGGAAACGACCTTGAAATACCACCAAGTAAAACACGACCTGCAAAAGTCTCCTTGCGCTTGGGGAGCATTTTTGTACATACACACACATTTATTGTGCATTTACACATCACATTACCATTATTTCATTTTCCCCCATCTCCTTGCCCTTTCTTTTGACATCACCCATAGGAGAATGACACTCCCCTTCATCCATATACTATACATGCTAAAAGGTGATGTTTAGAGGTTAGGAAACTACAAGGAAATTTTTCAAGCAACAACCCACATGCATTGCATAAAACCCACGCCCCTATATAAAAAATTTCATCAAATTCAGAACTCTGGTTGTTTATTTGATGAAATTGTTGTAATTTATGATGTTTATTTCAAAATAAAGATTCATATATATATATATATATATATATATATATATATATACACACTACCATTGAAAGAAAACAGTTTGGGTCGATTGAACCAATTGTCACCAGACTTCATTTACTTTAAGTTTTAAAGTGTTTTATGCATGATTCGTTCAACTTTCCATATATATATATGTATATAGGTCGATTGAACCAACCGTCACCAGACTTCATTTACTTTAAGTTTTATAGTGTTTTATGCATGATTCATTCACCCTTCCATGTGATGGCCATTAATTATTATATTGGCACATTAATTATTTTTCATAAGACATGCAATGGCCTTCTGAGATGTTGCAACTATTGGCATATTCACTCTTCGTTGGGTTTTTGTGGCTACATTTTGTTTAACTGTATCAGACATTGCCACTCTACAGTATCTATTTTGACCAATAGTGGAAATATAAATAGATACATACCCAGAAACTACAAACCGAGAGTCTAAAATTTGTGTTTATGTCAAAGTTGTTTTACTCCCCTCAAAACCAAGATTTTCCATATACATTCAGTTTTTATATAATCTAGTCCAANAGAAGTGTTTTTACCTCCTACACACATGTGGGGGATGGAGAGGAACAAGTGTTTATGGGTGACTAGACCCCACCTACTATGGGTAAGGGAAAGGTGTTACTAAAGTTAACTTCTGGAAATATTAGTTGGAACTTGGTGTCGATATCTGTCTTAAATAAGGTGGGAATGAAAGCAACACCTGAGAGTGATAAGAAATAATGACCAAAAATGGTACATTTTTTGGGAAAGGTTATTGTAATAAGGGTCTTTATGCACTAAATGTTGCTAAATTTATAAATGAGAATAAGTCTNCTTGTGGAGAAGCGATAGTTGAATCCTGGAGAATGGGACACCATAACCTATTGCATCGGGTTTCGTACTCAGAGCGGTGGAAATCTATTCTTAAGGACAGTGACTACACGCCTCAATTGATAATTTTTTCTGTCTTGTTTATTTTCAGTTTGTAGCATTTTAAACTTGATATTTTCACAAAAATATTAAGAATAGAACAATATGGATGTTGCAATTATAAACAAGACCATTTCTGATGTGACAAAATTAAGCCTTTTAATGGGTCTAATTTCAAGTGTTGGCAAGAGAGAATTATGATGTTACTTGATATAGCAAGTGTTGCATTTGTTTAAACTGATTTAAAACCTGAAGAAGATATAGAAAATTATGTAAGAGAAAAAGAAAAATGGGAAAAGGTTGATAAGGTTTGTCGGAATATTATCTTAAATGCACTATTAAATGAATTGTTGGATGTTTATTATAATTATAAGCATGCTAGGGAGATTTGGGATAGGTTGGTGAAAAAATATATTGTCAAAGATGCAGAGATTAAAAAATATGCAATAGAAAATTTCTTAGACTATAAGCTGGTTGAGGAGAAGGATGTTTCTTCTCAAATTCATGAGTATCATTTGATTATTAATGAGTTGAGGAATGAAAAAATTACTTTGCCTGAATCATTCGTAATTGGTGCTTTGATTGAAAAACTACCCGATTCTTGGAAATTTTACAAGAACAATCTTAAACATAAAAGGAAGGATATGTCATTGGAAGATGTGATTATCCATATTGGGATTGAAGAGAAAAATCATTTGAAGGATAAAATTGAAAAGGCCAAGGAAAATGTCTCTAAGGCCAATGTTGTGGAGACTACAAATAAGCCTCAATATAAGCATAAGAAAAAGAATCACAATAGAAAAAATCCCCATAAGGCTCAAGGTTCTAGTTTTAAGAACAAAGGTAATTGTTTTTTTTGTGGAAAAGCAAGACATTATGCTCAAGAATGCGGACCCTGAAAAAGGAACCACAAACCTACCAAGCCAAATGTCAATTTGGTTGAGGCGGATGATATTATTGTTGCAGTCATTTTCGAGGTTAACATGGCTGCTACTACAAAAGATTGGTTGACAAACTCAGAGGCTAGCAAGCATATTTGTAGCAATAGAAGTGTTTTTACCTCCTACACACATGTGGGGGATGGAGAGGAACAAGTGTTTATGGGTGACTAGACCCCACCTACTATGGGTAAGGGAAAGGTGTTACTAAAGTTAACTTCTGGAAATATTAGTTGGAACTTGGTGTCGATATCTGTCTTAAATAAGGTGGGAATGAAAGCAACACCTGAGAGTGATAAGAAATAATGACCAAAAATGGTACATTTTTTGGGAAAGGTTATTGTAATAAGGGTCTTTATGCACTAAATGTTGCTAAATTTATAAATGAGAATAAGTCTAGTTTTATTGCTTATGTGCTCGACTCTCTTAATATGTGTTGAATCTAAAATCACTAAAAAGACTTCTATAACGGTTGAAAGAGAAACCGAATTATTAAGTTTGATACATAGTGATTTAGGTGATCTTAAGAATACCATGACAAGAGATGAAAAAAGATATTATGTCTCTTTTATTGATGATTATTCGAGGTATACTAAATTTTACCTATTGAGAAATAAGGATGAAGCAAGTGAAATGTTTATCAATTAAAATCAGTTGAATAGGAAAATTAAAAGGTTAAGGACTGATAGGGGAGAAGAATACAAATCTAATCCTTTTAACGACTATTGTGAGCAACATGGTATTATACATGAAGTTACTCCTCCATACTCACCTGAATCTAATGGTGTAGCCGAAAGGAAAAATAGGAATTTAAAGGAAATGATGAATTTTATGTTAATAAGTTTAGGAGTGCCAAATAATTTATGGAGAGAAGCTATTCTATCTGCATGTCATTATAATTCCACATAAGAAAATAGGAAAAAAATCCTTATGAAATTTGGGTAGGGCATCCACCATTCTTAAAATACTTAAAAATGTGGGGGCATTTAGCAAAAATTATATTACCGGAACCTAAGAAGAGGAAATTAGGTTCTAAAACTTCAGATTATGTTTTTATGGGCTATTCGATTAATAGTACTTCAAATGGGTTTTTAGTGATAAGAAACGAGCAGAACATTTTAGAACCCA